ACATAGGGTCATTATGAGTCGCAAGCGACTTGATGGCACATAACAACAACAACAACGTTTTGGGCTGTAAGCTATGCTACCCAAACATAATTCAGAAGCAATATTTTAGACTTTTCTCATAAATTATTTAAAGGCCTATTTTAACCCATCCAAAATACATTTTAAAATTCTTGATCAAGTAGACTACGAAGTTATCGAGTAAACTGTGAAAGAAACGTTTTGACTTATTTTCTAACACCAATGCCCAAATAGGAAAACTTAATGTGCTTGTCCCATAAAATAATTTGGTTAAGACTCCCACAGCAACACCAGTATAACAAGTAGAAAAAAGAAAAAAAAACAAGTAGAGTCAATTATTTCAACAACTAAATACACCTTTAATTATAGTACCTCACATTCCATGACACTCACTCAAGAACACCTGGTAATTAGCTCAAAAGAATTATAATAAAGTTTTCAAATAATTGAGTACTAAACAGCCTGTTTAGGCATAACAAAGGAAAAATAACACTTAATAATTTAAAACCACCTGGAATAGTGTTGTGTCATTTTCCAATGTACTTTCACAGAAAGTATTTTTGAAATTTTGCATGGCAAATTCTTGACACCAATAACCCAAGTCTAGACTCAGAATGTTAAAACTAGCAAGCAATGTCTCCAAAACGTTACAAAAATACATTTTATTCTGTTCTTTATTAAATTAACGCTTGAGCACGTGTGTACACATCCTAACTATGCTCTTTGATCCTAAACCATGTGCTGGACGATAAGAAGCCCTTCAAATTTTACAACTGTCAGTATATATAGCTGATATTCAGCTTTTTAAAAATGTTCCTCTATGATCCTCCAATTCTCTCTACAGTTTGATTATCTTCATAGAGCGTAAGCGTGTATTTCTTAAACCTGGGGTAAAGGAATTTCTGCAAGGATGAGACCAGCAGTAACAAATGGCTTAAACCTACTCTTTATAGAGCTCGTTCCACCTGTCCTCATTTGTAACAGACTGTCCAGCTCATCTTCCAAGAAAAAAATTCGGTAGGGCATTCCCAAGGGGCTCACTCCTATCATTCTCCCTCACTCCTAGAAAAACAAAGGTTCACACCCTGCTCTGTCACGCCATAGGTCGTTCTTGTTAATCTAGGTAAACCTGGGCATGTACTCACAGAGGGATGATGAAGGAGAGGATGTGAGCATACTGCAAAGTGTGTGTGTGGGGGGGGGGGGAAGAGGTGCCAGAGAATATGGAAGACTGCTTACATTCTCGCTGGTAAAATGTGGATAATCTCTTAGGATGTTTAAGGGAAAGTGTGGGAGTCAGAATGACAACGTGAATGAAACAGGGGAAGATGCGGAAGGGTCGAGATAGGCACGTAAAAGACAACCCCGGCAGGCAGGTCCCAGAGGCAGAGGTGGTGGCTGAGACTCTCAGACCCCCCAGGTCAGACCCCCTCCAAGGAGGCTGGTGGAGACCCCGACGGTCAGCCAGCCGCCCGACGGGTTTCACCGCGAGGTTTCAAACCACCGCCCCCAGGAGGGACAGAGCCGATTGGAAGTTCAACCACCACCGTCACAGGGCCAGAGCGGCAACTCGGCGCGGAACTCTCCCCGCCCTCCGCGTCTTCCCAGGAGACCAGACCCCACCAACTCCACCTCTAGCCGCGGTCCCAACTCCTGTCGCCGCCTGCTCCACGCACGAGGAGCACCCTTCGGGATGAGACCGACAGCCCCCCGACCGGGCTACGCCGCGGGAGATCGAAGGGCGCGAGGGGACCGCGAGGGGGTGAGAAGACAGGCAGACGGTGCGTTCCTCGGAGTCCACCACGGGACGCGGCTCCACGACCACCTCCGCCTCGCCCTTCAGGAAAAGTCTGATTGCGCTCCCACCCACCCATCCCGCCCGATCGCGGGCAAAGCAACCCTACTTCCCCTGCCCCTGCTCTTACCCATCTTTCCGCCTCGCCTTGTAGACGTGCCCGTAGGTGCCGCGTCCCACTTTGCACCCTTCGTACTCAAACAAATCCTCCACCCGCTCCCGCTCCGCCGCCAGCTTCGCCTTGAAATCATAATCCATTGTCTGCTTCCCCCATAGAGGCACTGGGACGC